ATTTCCCTAATTTTGGAGTCTTGGGCTTGGCTGATGTTAATATAAATAACTCTTCCCAGAGGGATGCTGCAGCATGAGAGAGTGACCTGAAAAAAAAGAAAAAAGTTACTAGGAGTCTGGATTGTTTTAACACGAAATGGAGAAGCAAGTGGTGTGCTTTCACTGTTAGTTCTCAAGCTTCTCATCTTATGATGGGACAAGGTTACCTTAGAAATGTTTTGGTTTTGCAAAACACTATACAAATATGTAGTGTTTACTCAAGATTTACAGAGAATGACTGTGCTGCAAAATGCTGCCTTTTTATTTAATGTCATCCCTTACCAAATACCACTTTCTGGGGGAAAAAAAATAGGGATAAAAACAGAACTTGAAAGAACTTTTAGATCAGAAAGTTGTTATATCCTCCAGTACCGTTCAAGAAGTTTGTAGAATGAAAACATTAATTTGTGTTCTAGACCATGTACTGTGTAAGGATTTTTTCCAAGTTTTTGAAGCACTGGATGGTTTTAGCGGTTGCACAGGAAAAAAAAAAAAAAAACAAACCCAAACCTCCAGACACCAAATGAGAAAGTTAGTGCTGAAATTGTTGCTTCCACCAGGCTCTGGAAGTCGGTGGGTTACGAGTATATGATAAATAGAAAATGTTTCAGCTAAAATGCCCGTAGTGAAATTGAACAATAATGGCGGGGGTGCACTTAAATTCATTAAGCAAGGAAGTACTGAAAATAATTACCAGCAGAATATTGTCAGTTGTTATGCAGTGCAGATTTCATTTTGAGCCATTTTAAACAGCTAACATTTTAAACCACCTTAGCAAGGGCAGAGCCTCTCTTTTATCGTTACAGCAGGACTGATTTTTCTTTCTTTTTTTTTTTTTTTAAACTAGCTTGGGATATAGTTAAGTTCATTCTAAAACCCACATGTGCCGTGCAATCAACAGACTCATCACAGAATCATAGAATGGTTTGGGTGGGAAGGGACCCCTAGAGGTTCCCCAGTCCAACCCCCCTGCAGGAGCAGGGACACCGCTAACCACATCAGGTTGCTCACAGCCCTGTCAGAGCAGAAATTGCAGCTGGCTCCTTGGAGGGAAAAGCTTCGAAGCTTTCAATGTATTGATGAAGCTGCCAGCCACACCTGTGTCACCGCCTGGTGGGATTGAAAAGAAATTGTTTCACTGGAGAACATCAGTGTTCCCTGGCGGTGCTGGGGGGGAGGAAATGTCGCTGTCGAGGTGGTGGTGAGAAAGTTCCCGAACCGGGGGGAAACAACACAGGATTTCAGGTTTCACTCGTCTGGTGCCTGGCGTTGGGGCTTTGCCGTGGTGTTTCCCCTGTGCAGAGGCTGTTTCCTTGCCGAGGAGCTCTGGTCTGCAGGGCGTTGAGGGTGCCCTGAGCTCCGGTGGCCGGCGGTCCTCTCCCCACCCTGCCCGGGCAGTGCAGCGGAGCGCGTGTGCATAGCGAAATAACCAACGTTCTTAAACCCATGCTAATTATTAATATGGGTCCAAGCTTGCACTTGTTTTGTTTTTTTTTTTAAGGTCTGCCTTTTCCCTTGCGGATTCGCCAGAGCTAAATATAAACTGTACAAAGCTCGAAGAGCGGCAGCGGAACGCGAAATTAAAGCGTGTGTGTGATGGGAGGAGGAAAATCCAGGAGAGAGTGCTGCTTGGCAGGAACCATGCCTCATTAGTGTGGGGAACAATGTTTTAGTGGCCGGGGAATGATAGGTTCTTATTCCCGAGCCGCTTTAAAAAGCTTGCCCCTTGCAGCATCAGCCTTTTATGTGAATTCTTATCCTCGTGTCTCGCTTTTAGGCTGAATATCCTCACTGAGGTGGGCCGTTGGGTTAAAAAGCGCTCAGAGCCAAAGTCCTTGCAGGGTAAAATCCTGAGCTGGGCGAGGGGCTGGTCCAGAGCAGCGGGGACTCTGTGGAGAAGCAGTTGTGGGCTTTGCGCTGTATTAAACCCCGGATCGGTGCTCTTCGTGCACGTGGATAGCTGGAGGCGAAGCAAATGGATGGAGACGGTGCTCGCTTCTGTCGCTGCGTTACCAGGCTGGCGGTGGTTTGACCTTGTCGTGGCTTAACCCGGCTGGCAGCTCAGCACCACGCAGCCGCTCGCTCGCGGCCCCCTCCCTCAGTGGGATGGGGGAGAGAATCGGGAAGGAAATAAAAGGTTAGAGCCGAGGGCTGAGATAAAGACAGTTTAATAAGAGAAAATAATAATAATAGTAATAATGAGAATGGTAACAGAA